CTCTCACTCACACACTCACACTCACACACACACACACACACACACACACACACATACATTCTCTTTCTCTCTCTCTCAATCACACTCACACACACACACTCACACTCACACACACACATACGCACACACTCTATCTCTCTCTCTCACACTCACTCACTCACTCACTCACTCAGACACACACACACAAGCCATTTTTACATTCTCAAAAAACTTAATTCTGTATGATTTATAAGCTGCTTTCCTCATGAGGACCAAAAATGTCCCCACAAGGTCAAAATTTACTGCTATTACTATCCTTGTGGGGACATTTGGACCCCATATAATGTGCAGGTACACACACACACACACACACACACACAGAGAGAGACACACACACACTTGAACAATGATAAATGAAGTAGGATCCTAAAGAAGGAACATTCAGAAGGACACAGGCACGTGGCATGTGCTATCATCCATGTGTGGCTGCCATTCATTCATTCAGCTGAGCACATGCTTGCTTTACAAAATAACCACACGTACAGTAGTTCAAACGAGCAAATCACAATTATATAACAGTTTAGTCTTTCTAGGCCCAGCGTCAGTGGTTAAGTGTCAAGTTCAACATCAAATCAGATATCTGAGCCTTTATCACGTCAGAAGAAAGTTTCGATATTATTGGTATTATCAGCGCCACAATATGTATTGCATTGATTTGCATCTTTTGTGCTGCCATATCATGGTTTGTTATGCACAATATGTATGCTCAAGCCAGTGTATCTGTTTAGATGCTACTTACATTAAACATGGCATTGGCTTCATTCTGAATGCTTTCAAACGTGTATTTCTCTGATCTCCGCTGTCGCATCTTAAAAAGGCGCGACCCTCGGTTTGAGAGGAGAGAGAGTTCCTCCAGCATGATGTCTTTTGGAGTGGAAAGTTTCTTTCCCAGGTCCATCGTAACACCTGCATTAATACCACACCATTTGTGTTATTACAGAATAATTCAACAGAGCCATTTATAAAACCTTGGATAATGCTTTATAATAACTTAATAATACATGATAAAATACATGGCTCCTATATATTTAAAAGTTTTATGTGGGACAATATATATATACAGTACATATTGTCCTATCGAAATCCAAAAATTTGAGCACTTTTTACTGTACCAATCGCTTCTAGACCTCAAAATGTGTTTTAAAAGTCAGAATCAGAAAGAGCTGTGTTTATACACACACAAGGAATTCGTCTTGGTGTCAGGAGCTTCCAGTGGAAACAAGTACAGACAAAGTGCAGACATACATATAATTTAAGGTAATAAAATGAAATATAACACTAATAATAAAGAGAATAGACAATAAATTAAAACAAAATAATAGCTATATGATGATAAAAAAAATAGCCTAGAGAAAATAGACAGAATTATGAATGTGCAAATGTTTTGAGAAGTTATGTGCAAAATATAGAGAAAATAGACAGTATTATGAATATGCACATGTGCTATTTTACAGATGTACAGTCCTGAAATGTTATGTATTGTTCAGGTGGAATATGGCTGTTCTTATGCCGCTCACTGATGATATATCTGTGTCGGAGTGCAAGAACAGAAACAATGTCTTTGTATTGAAGGACAAATTTAACATAGATCTTAATTAAATCATGCTCTTGTTTTCTTCCTTGTAAGATGGCAGAAATGACGCAAACGGAAACTGTAACGCGTGCGCACACGAAAGTCTGTGTATTTTTTATTTTAGCAAATGTCCCTTTAGGGGCTCCGTAGTTAATGACTTAATAGTGAGTGGTATGAAAGTTATTATAAAGTAAACTTTTATTGATGCTTCATATGATTCATATTTGAACACATACAGTAATTTAATTTATTCACACAACATATCATGGCATAAAGAAACCAAAAGTACAAAAGGTTATAGTCTGGATTCCTGTGTTAGACACACATTCTATGAAAGGTCACATGACAAATCATTCAACCTTAATAGAAACTGGAATAGAAGCATTATTAAAAGGTTAAATATGATGGTTATGAATGTTTTATTAAAGGGTGCATGTCACGCTATTGCAGCAGGAGCTTTTCAGCTATGCCCATGACGTTATTCTGTACATTTCCAAGACCAGATTCCAAACATAACTTGATATTTAGAATAGAAAGCGTTCATTTTTGGCATCATGTTTACTGAATGATGTCTCAATATAAATTGTTACTTAAAGCGTTTAAAGCATTGTACTTAATCTAAAAAGGTTCAAGGTTCAGTGCTTGTTTAAACAGGAGAAGCTCTCTTGTTCTCCATGATCTTTATTCTGTTCTCATTTCGGCTCCAGCACAGCTGTCCTTTAGCCTCTGCAGAAATAGCCTGTGACAATAACAGAGTGAATCCACCGCTACAGGCAGACGAACATCCACGCCAGATTATTTATGGCTAGAACGAGGCTGTGGCCCTGAACCACGTTCTAAACGCTGGCGTTTCTCTCTGTAATCATTCAGTGCTGATGTGAGAGCAGGTTTTGGCAGAAGGTTATACCGTTGGCACCATGGACCTCATGGCAAAGAGCAGCTGCCTGCTTCTTCCTCTCACGCACTGAAAGAGTGCTGAACTGTGACATGTTGGGTTAAATGAGAATCCCAGTAGTGCTGCAATACATAAAGGACACAGATACTTGTAGTAGAACGATCGAAAGTCAATTTATAGGATAATGTGAGATAATGAGAGTTATAAAATAAGAATATATATGTCACCCTGGACCACAAAACCAGTCTTAAGTGTCAATTTTTCAAAACTGAGATTTATGCACCAGCTGAAAGCTGAATAAATAAGCTTTCCATTGATGTATGGTTTGTTATGATCGGACAATATTTGGCCGAGATGCAACTATTTGAAAATCTGGAATCTGAGGGTGCAAAAAAATCTAAATATTGAGAAAATCATCTTTAAAGTTGTCCAAATGAAGTTCTTAGCAATGCATATTACTAATCAAAAATTAAGTTTTGATATATTTATGGTAGGAAATTTACAAAATATCTTCATGGAACATGATCTTTACTTAATATCCTAATGATTTTTGGCATAAAAGAAAAATGTATAATTTTGACCCATACAATGTATTTTTGGCTATTGCTACAAATATACCCCAGCGACTTAAGACTGCTTTTGTGCTCCAGGGTCACATATGTCATGAAGCATGAGCTGGTGACAGAACATTTTGTCCAGGGTGTAGATTGGGTTACTGAGGCTGATCAAAGCCAAAAGAAACTTTCTTTGCACAATTCACACGGCCTTGCCATTCCATCCTTAACTAGCTGCTCTCATTGAAAAATTCAAAAAGGTCGGTCTCTGAATTCTCTTGTTTGGTAACATTGCTAGCAATGCTTGTGTAGATAAACTGGTATTCTAGTTTTTTAATGGTAACACAATATTATCAGTATCTACTTGTATTGCTGTCACAATAAAAAAAATCAGATCAGAAAGAGATTCCTAAACAATCACTTTCAGTTTAATGTTCTTTTGTTAGGGCTTCTGTTTTAGTCATCTTTCCATTATCATGTGCACATTTATCCATCATGAGATCTAAAACACGTCTCTGTGTATCTAGGTTTTGTTATCACAGTTTAAATGTCCACAACCCCCAACATTGTTATCGTTATCTTTATGCCCACACTGCACTCAGTCTCTCAAGGAAGGCCATGGTCTTACCTGTTAGATCCGCGTGTGTCTTGATTTCTACCTGTACAGAGGAAGAGGTTACTTTAGGTAGATCGATCCGGCCTGATTTGTCCTTGTCTCGCACTCTTATTGACTTGCACTGGGGTGTGTGCGGGTGTTAGTGGAACACCGGCTTACATCAATAGGCTAATTTTAGCAGTGTTCAGCTCTCAAACCTCTCACAATGCTATGGTACGGAGGGGGGAGGGAGGGAGAACTGTCTGTATGCATGAGAATAAAGTGTGCAAAGTCTGAGAGCGAGTACTTTGTGTGTGCAATTGTTCGCTTCACAGGCTGGGTCATTTAAGGCTTAGACCCCACTATTTCTCTTTCCATACAATGTCTTGTTACATAACATATCATCCTGATGAGATCCTTGTCTGCTCCAGGAGAAAATCAAAATAATAAATTTTGCAGCTTTATTGTTTTTAAAAAGATCTGATAGAATCAAATGGTGGTATACTATAGTAAACATTGGTATATACAACAGTGACAGATTTTTCAGTCATCATGCATTAATAAAACTCTCTTTAGGGAACAGCTTGATGAATGTTATGATAGATGAGAGACTTTCAGATTGTTTGTTGTTTGGATTTCAAAAGGATTATCAAGCTTTCTAAATAGAATGTGTATGCTGGGTGCTGAGGTTCATTCAGATAGAAATAATAATCTGTGCTGTGTCTAGAGTTAGTATTAGAAAAAAAGTTATCGATTCACACATTGACTTACACGGTAAACAAATAAACATTTACACATTGAACAATAAAGAATCGTGTGACTGTGAACGCCACAAACAGCAATGCAATATTAAGATGAACTTGATCAAGTGAGAGTCCAGAAACATAATGATCAAGTCACACTATCAGAGATAAAAACATAATCAGAGACTCAAAGGCAACACAGTGAAAAGATCACACTTCCATCATTTCAGATAAGTTTAAAAATAATAATGATTTATTGAAACATGTTGTTCGTGAGTGATCTAAATCCCATCAGTAGTTCAGAGTAATCACTGTTGCATACTAACTGCGTTTGTCACAACTAAATAGATTAACTGTACAGAGTTACACAAATACAACTAATCTACTCCACTAAAGAAAAACAAATTGTGCTCAGGTAGTGTAGAATGTGTAATGTGTATGAATATAATAATACTGTATAAATACACTATAATGGGCGCTTTTTCATTAATAATCGGTTCTCAACAAGAGGGCCTCAGCAAACTTTCAAGGGGTCTGCTAAAAGTTATTTAATAATATTAAGATATATTAAAATAAGTAAACTTAATTAAAATGCTAGAATGTTAGGCCAACAATATACTGTAAACTTCATTCTTCATCAGAGTTTCATTCCACACCCACTCAGTCCAGATTTTACTGAGTATGTACACACATGTATATAGCGAGTCTAGCGTTAAAATATCTATACAAGTAATGCTCAGTTTCCCTAAAGTGCTATTTTTGTTAAATCTGGTGTCTTCTGTCATTCAGTGCTTAAAAATTGTATATGCTTAAAAATGTTATGTTGTTTACGGTTATTTTCGGCCTCTTGGAGCTTCACAGCAACTGGAGTGGAAAACGAAAGATTTTTCATGTTAAGGGTGAACGATTCCTTTCATCTTGTTTTTAATCGGCATGCACAGACAAATAAACTTGACTGGAAAATTGCTGTGGCTGTTGGCAGTGAGGCTTATGTACAAAGCCCCTTTATGTTTCTTTTTAACTTTTTATTCATCAAAGAATCATGAAATAGGAAGCAGCAAAAACTCTTTTCAATACTGATAATAAATCAGCATTTGTGAGCCTGGAGCACAAAAGCAGTGTTAAGTCGCTGGGGTATATTTGTATCAATAGCCACGATGATGAAAATTCAGCTTTGATCACAGAAATAAATTACAGTTTAACAGATATTCACACAAAAAAAAAACAGTTTGTTTAAATTTATAATAATATTTCACATTTTACTGTATTTTTTCTGTATTTTTATTAAATAAATGCAACCTTGATGAGCATAAGCGACTTTAAGAAACATCCTACTGATCCCAAACTTTTGGTGTGTGCATATGTACACACACACACACACACACACACTATGACTTAATTTGATCAATCAAAATACTAATTTGATTCAAGTTTCCAACTGACTCTTTGCGACTGTGGATAGTTTGTGTGAAGTGTGATATGATGAGGCAGAGAACTACCCCTGCTGTACCTTTCGCTGGTCACCGGAAGCTGTGAAGTATGGAAAAGCGCTGAAGTAAAGCTGTTGATAGGGGATGTAACAGCTATTACGGGCCCCATCTCTTGAGGGCCACCGGAAGACTCGTACAACACTCTTTGCTTCCATTCTGCTGCCGTTTCTGGTAGTGATTTTCTATGAGTAGCAGAGATTTTGGACTCCTCAGGACCAAAGGAGCTTTGAGAAACCGCCTTGGAGGGCTGTTCCACCCACGAATATTGCCTGCTCAGTGATTCACGTGTTGAAAGGACACCTGGGGTGGACACAGGAGAAGCGGGAGACACAGAGGACAGTCTCTGAGGGAAAGACAAGGAACGGCTCCTGCTGAATCCCTACACAGAGAAAGAAAGATAAGCATGCACACTTTGAACAGTACACATTATTTGACTCACAAGCAAATAATCACAAGTTTTAGTTTGCAACACAAAGAAGCTCTTATGGCTGTTGTGTTTCTCACAATACTTTTTACTTCACACAAATAAATTAAAATTTAGACTGCCCTCTTCTGGACGATGCCTGTAAATGCTATTTAGAGACATTGCTAATTTTGGTTCAGGGGAGGTCAGGGTTGGTTGGCACAGGATTAATTCTGGGTTATAATTAGATACGATCAAAACATTTTTCGGAGCAGTTGCACTCTTCGAACTCCGAGACATGAAAGCTAGACTCCTGCTAAAATAGCATTGATAAGAGAGACGTTCAGGAGAAGTTTCTCAGTTTGGCAAAGTTTCCAAATGATTGCTTCAGAAGTTGCAACCTGTGTGTCTAATTATCACCTCTGTCAGACAATACTGCTGTCCTCAAGTGTTGTTATTAAAACATGATTTTTCTATTCAGCTTGGAGTTGAGTTGGGGGATATTTCAGCACTTACCTCTGGTTAAAGGCACTTGACTAGTTCAGAAGTGTAAGACCTATCAGATTTCTAAGCAGAAGTGGTGTCTTAATAGGGTTTGTGTGTTTCAAACATGGTGGAGCAAGAGCTATTTATATAATGAGCTATGTGCAGAGTTAAGACAAACACAGCCCACAACCCACTGCAAGAGTATATCAACAATCTGAGAAGAACAGAACTAATCTGACAGAACTGTTCAAAATTACGATATCTCATCATTTGAGTTTGTTTAAAGTCTTCTGTGTTATGTAGTACTGAGGTGTATTTACATTTTTATTACACTGATGGAAAATATAGTGCATTTTTCCATGTATGGACTGGTCTTTGTAGGACTTTACCAGAGAGAAAGCAGAAAGAGTAGCATTGGTAACATGGAAATACAAGAAAGTGCAATTGGTAAAATGCAGGAAAAATACAGAAGAGAGAGCACAGAAAGCATGACGTGAGACAGAGCTGATGGGAATATTTATTAAAGAGAAGTGCAATAGTTTCTAAATGACAAGACGAAAGAAGAACAGAAGTAACATAGTTCAGAATGATATTTGAATGAGTATTCTGTACACCCGTCCTCAGTGTTGGGGGTAACGCATTACAAGTAACTCGAGTTACGTAATCAGATTACTTTTTTCAAGTAACTAGTAAAGTAACACATTACTTTTTAATTTACAATAGAATATCCATGTTGAGAGAAATCAGAAGATGTTACTGTAGTTCTAAAATAAATATGAATATGCATTAATTCATCTCACTCACAAAAAACCCCCCACAGATTCAGTATTCCTCAAAATGAATAAAAATAATGCAACTCAGAATATGACGCAAACCTGCAATAATTAAATGTTAACACAAATATCCTTTATGTATTTAATCCCATTCTATTTGCTTCTGACCTTCGATGATCCAGTTCAACCGTACTAATAAGCACAAATTACTCTAGACAAACATTTGTGTCTTTTTTTATTGCTGAAGTGTGTTGAAATTTCTTCTTCTGTATTCTACTGTACTTTCCCTTCAGCCTGAGGCTTATTCATTTCACTTTTGGTGTGAAAGGCTTTTATATTTGCCAAAAATATAACTTTTTTTATTTTAAAAACAAACAAGCAAGCCCTGTCCAGATTTAAAAAGTAACGCAAAAGTAACATAACGCATTACTTTCCATAAAAAGTAACTATTTTTTAATGGAGTAACGCAATATTGTAATGCATTACTTTTAAAAGTAACTTTCCCCAACACTGCCCGTCCTTTGTTAACTGTATCTGAACAGCACATAATACGAATGAAGTATTCTGAATTATATTTTTAGATTAATTGAAATGCCGAAAAGAGAATATCCACAAGAAAAAAATATAACTATGTCTTTAAACCATCTGTGAAAGGTTTTCCTCACTAACAACAACTGATCTGGAGGTCTGACAGAATTGCAAAGGAGGCTCAATCCGAGGGGAGATCTAGTATATTGATCTGAAACTCTAGCATTTAGTGCATTTAACACAAATTATTTAATTGTTGCTTAGACAATGTGGCTGACAAAAATCGCAAGTTTATCATCCAGGCCCACTTGGCATAATATGGTGAATGTGTTGTGTTGCTTGACACAAAAAAGAGAAAGTATCAAACAGATTTTCTATAAAAAAAAACAAAAAAACACACAAAATAACTGTCATTAATGTGGAAACATATCACATTGAAATAATTCTGAAATAATGAAATTAACTTATGGTATAAATTGTAGAACTCTTATATAATGCATGGAAATCGTATCTTGTGCATTGATCTAGAATGAATGAGGAAACAATTTTTCTTTGATCTTTTGATATATTAGTGGTGATTGCGCTATAAAAATGCTCAAAAATCATCCTATCTGCAAAAACAGCACTTTTTCAATCTGCCAAAACAACTCGTTTTGCATATATACTGTTGTTTGTGCAAAAAATAATAAGTGAATCTCAAGTATAACACTTTAGATTAGTGAACACTATTTGCTGTTACTAGCATGCATATTACTTGCATATTGGCTGTTTATTAGTACTTTTAAAGCA